CTACACACACACACTGGGGCTGTCACTTTTTTAAAAAATGAAGTTTGAACTAATGTAATTACTAGCACGAAATGTATTCTTATTAAATCAAATGAAACATTCATAGCTTTTTCCCGAACTGAGCTGACGTTGTTCTGTTCACATTTGCTGTAAAAAAACATGAATAACACCCGTGAAATGAAACCTAGAGACACAGAGAGGGACAAACACCGATAGAGGTGAAGGCAGAGAGAAAGAAAGAAAAAGAGACAAAGATGGATACAGCGGGAAGAGCCAGAGAGGGAGTTCATCATTTGGAACCAATCTATTCTTAAATGTTTAATTGGGCTGGAAATGAAATCAGGACAAATTAAATAAAAAATGAAATTAAGTAACTGGCCCACAAATTAAATGCTGACAATGCGTTCTTTCTCTTTTTGACAAAAACACAAACACAACAGCCAACACACACATTGGACTGATGCCCAAACAGCACTGATTCTCATATTTTCTCAAAATGTAGTTCTCATAATCGGCGGCTTGGTGGTGTAGCGGCCCTTAGCCCCGCTTGTGGCCGTTGAGAAAAGGCCCACCTGTTATTAATCGAAGGCTGATGTCATTAAGTTTTTTGATGGAACCTTCATAATGAAAGTAAAATCTAAATGAGCTGTGGGTACTTTTTTGTAGTGGTCACAAGTGTAAATTTGTGACCACTTTCCTAGCTTCCAGCACTCTTGTCTCGTTTGTGATGTGTTAGCAATCTGTTCCCCTGAACTTTGAGCTGACAGGCTGGGAACAAAGAAGCACAGCCGAGGGGGATCTAAGAGGATTTCAGGCTGGTCCAAAGGGATACCATTTGTCCCCAGAGAAGTCAGGTCCTCCCCTCAAAACTATTTCTGGATGTAAAACATCACGTTAACCACAGATGAATCTTGTTGCTCTGCTGTCAATAAAAAAACAAAAGAAAGCGAGAGAGACACTTGTTACTAAGCTGTTATTACTGCTGCTTGATGGTTTGGCAATGAAAACACATCACTTCATTCGAATAATCACAAATTAAATCCTAATTAGTTGGTCACACATTTACTAAAGTTCAAGTGTTTAAAACAGAAAAGGGATGATGTACAGACATACAGCACAGACCGTCACTCTTATATTCATGGACGTCTGTGCTATTCAGCTAGTCTCCATCTCTTCTGTCGAATGTTCTCCCTCACAAACACACACACAAACGCATACATACAAACACACACACATACAAACACACACACTCACACATTCGTCTGGGGGTGGAACCAGCTTGAGGAGGAGAACTGACATTTGAAACAATATGCTTTTGTTGTGCTGCGCCATCCGCTGTCATATTAAACAGATGTATGCATTAGCGCAGACACAACTGCTCATATACTAAACATATTTCTAATGTTGACGTTTTTAACAATCACTGAAATGTCACTGAGCCCTCACGTCAGAATATCAGTAATCAGAGAGCAACAGGTGACAAAGCGGTTTGTGGAAAGCGGAATGCAACGGTAAAAAAAAAAAAAAAGAAGAGGATTCTTTGTCTTTTTTTTGCATAAATAAAAGACCAAAATTAAGCTGAATTAGAATCCTTCACAAATGGCAACGCATTCTCATTGACATTTAGACTGGACACAGTAAGAGAGGGAGAAGTTCTGTAACTGTCGATGTAAGAAGTGTCACAGTTTGACGTCCCTACAGTAAAATCAGTGTCCTCCGGCCACTGCAGCTGCGGTAGTCACAGAGGAAATCAACTGCCTCTCCACTTTCAGAAATCATGCAGCAGGCACGAATGGTTCCCCACCTGCATGTGCAGCTGTGTGCGCTGTATGTGTGTGGTTTTACACGTCTGCATGTGGCTTTGGGGGGAGCATGCCGTCGGTGCAGCAGCCATGCATCGGCGGGGATATATTTAAGTTTCTGTGAGGATAAGATGCATGCAGCCACCATGCAGAGCAGATGAACAGAAAAGGTCTCCCCACCAGTGTGCTGCTGGTTCTGAGTCGTACCCAGGTCCATGCTCTTCGAGGCTTTCACGTGCTGGAACTGCCGCTGGCTCTGGTTCTGGGTAGGACACTGGGGCTGGGCCGGGCTGGAGGTGCGACGGTTATCTCTGAAACAAATCGAGTGGACGGTTATTCGTTCCATTTTCATTGCTACGACTCAAAGCTGCTACTTCTTCCACTTGTATCATTTGTTCTGGTTAATAATTCATATTTGCGTATCACTCATATGTAAAACAGTCTGTATGGTGACTTACAATAGAAAACAAACACAAGCGCACACACCTTTCCTGTAGATAGGAGTGTTGGGCCGAGCCGCTGAACTCTGTTTCGTGTCCGTACAGCTCCCCCTCCTCTTCCTCGTCCATGTAAGAATAACTCCCATTGGTCGCTGAAAAGCAAACCAACACAAGTCTGCATTGAGACGTGGTGACGTGACGAAGCAAATCAGGAACGTTTTTAATCACCGTGCTCGTCCTTTCTGGACCACAGCAGCCGTGATTTGCTTGAATTCATTTTGGTGACAGTAAATACCGATATTTTGTCCGACAGCAAAACCCATTTCTACACCGTCCATTCATATGCTAAGCGTGTTTTTCAACACCCAGCAAATCCCCACAATACAATAGAATACACAATGAGCGTATTTAGTACGTGACTCTTCTTCTTCCAGGCCAGGAGAACGTCTCTGTCTTCACACACTCAGTTTGTTTTCACGCATCGGGATGTCACGTCACCAGAGATTTAGTAGAAGTTATCATTCCCCAAAAAATTCCACAATTCTCGATACCCAATTTGATACAATGGTAATAAACAAAAAAATGTATCTTGCTGTGGACAGATTTAGTTTTTTTATTTTACAAAATTACATTCGAACACTTCATGACAATATTATAATTTACCGTCGCCCAATACTCGTTTATAAAGAATAGAGCCTGAACGCATCGTAATGTAACTCAATGCTACCGCTACCCTCAGCTGTGAGCTCCTATCTATGGCCAAGTGGAACTGTGCAGAGTGGGTAGAGCGCACGCCGTATATGGGCGCATGATCCTCTGAACAGCAAATCTACAGTTCACATCATTCAACCGTTGGCTGCATTTCCCGTCTCTCATTCCCCGTCTCTCTGCACTGTCGCTATCAAATAGAGGCATTAAATGCCCGAACAATAATCTTAAAAGAAAAAGAAAAAAAACACAGATGTGTTGTTCACAATGTAGCATCTGTGGGATGGATTAACTGCGTCTTTTTGTTTACTGCGGTACTGTGAGATAAACAATCACAATCACATTTTCAGACTTTTGGCATCAACTTCGTACTAACGTAGCGACTCTTATCACATCCCGAGTATCTCATTTAGCATAGATAACGGTAGAAATGTGAGCAAAAGGTAATAATTTGCTGTCTTTCTAGTGTTATTTTATAGAGAAAGTAACACTAGAGTTATGTAACCTGGAAACAGTGTCAGTACACTACAGTTCAGATTAAATAGGCTCGGCATGAGCTAGGATAGAGCCGTTCTGGCCAATCCAAAAACAGTTGGCCGGCACTCTTACAAACAAAAGTGTCTGCTGGAGACTGAGACTGAGCACATGGGTGAAGGAAAGCGGCAGCAGTGCTTCGAGTGAGGACGTGTTTCAAAAAGGGGGTTAAACCTCAACTATTTCGAGAGCTTCACTGACAAAAGGTCTTGAGAATAAAAACTAGAGAAAGATAGAGTGAGATGGACGGAGAGATAAGCAGTCGGCTGAGGGTGAAAACAAAGGGAGCGGAAAGAGGATGAAAAGGCACACAGCGACGTGCAGCAGTATGGCTGCAGATGTAGCTCAGTGATACGGCTGTGCCTGCTTGATAAACGAGTCTATGACAACCTGATACGCAGACACACAATCCAACCCAAGCACAATTTGCATGCAGTCATCACTTCTAGAGTGCATAGCTGCCACACAACACATGCTCGCTTTATTGCACGAGCAGTGTGTCCTCTGTATGTGCCTGCATCCGCACGTGCGACTGAAAGTGAAGACGCCGGAGCTGGAGAGGAAAACAGCCGCGTCTGAAGATATCGCTTCCTCTCATCTCTCCCTCTCTCTCCCACTCTCTCTACACTAATCACCTGCTTTATTTTTCTTCTGGTCCCATTCTTGCAATCTGATATTTGGGCTGTCATTTATCTCTCCTCTCAGATCTCCCATAAATCATTTTATCTCCCACTCAGTTTCCAGCCTTTTCTTTTTTCTTCTTCTTCTAAACTTCCTCCCTCCTCACTGCAGGCACCTTAATCAGCGGAACTGTCAAAAACACATTCGTCTTTCACCTCGCTCTCACTCACACACAAATCTGTTCTCACTGACTCCCACTCTTTGAAGTGAAAAAGGCATTTGTTGTGTGGATAGTAGATCAACAGCAGTTTGCTCCAATAGCAGATATATGAATCCTCAACTTTGTCTTCCTTCCATCTGTATTAGTCTACAACGTGTCTCTCTCTCTCTCTCTCTTACTCCCTATCTCCTCCATACCATCTCCTTCCTCTCTGCGGGGACACCAGTGTGTCAACACACATGAGTCCTAGGGCCTAGGACAATTCCTTTTACCTAATTAAATCTTAAAAACAAAGGCCTGTATTATTAAAGATAATCTAACTTTCTGCTCAGAGTCAATTTGCTAAACAGTAATCTTACATCAACAATCCAAGACAGAATAATGAACTGCCTGTGACTCTTAATCCTCCCTTCTACACTGAAACCGATATCCATTTTTGATTGATTGATTATTAAATTGCAATATGTATTGGACTCAAGACACTGTAGCTTAACGGTCTCAGGATTTCCAGCAAATGAAACCATGTGAATATCGCATCACTGCTGTACATCCTTTAGTTGGTTAAAGGAGGTCTCTTGACATTTAATATTGAACTTCCATCAAATTAGAGGATTTGTAACAGAGACAGATTCAAAAAGGAATGGTCTAAATTGACATAGAGGCTCAGATATCACAGTACAGAAAAGGTCAATTAAGGGCAGTGCGATGAACATAAGACTTTCACTCAGGAGACCTCTGCTCATATCCTGTGTGAAACCTAAAATAAATGCTGACTTTGAACTAGTTAAGTAACATTGTTACGCTTGATATGTAACCGTACGTATGAAAGTCTGCTGAATGCGACTGTTATTTATTTACGCTACTTACAGTAGTTACGGTAGTTATATTACATTGTTAAATTATTATTTTAACACAAACTATGTTTGTTTCTAACTAAGTAGTTGTGTTGCCTGAGCCTCACCACTTGTTTCACGATGTTACTCATGTGGCGTTGGTGAAATGGATATCCTGAGTTTTGTTCCCTTCAATGGCTCAAGCTCCCAAAAACACTAGATCCTACATGTCCCATAATGCAAACTGATGCTATCCTCAATTTCACTTTTCCTGACTGCTAATAAATGTCTTCCAAACTGTAAAAAGTGCTCCTTTATTAAAAATACATACACTCTTATTAAATAAGGACAAAATCAATGTGCTTCATTGATAAAATTGGGGAAGATGGAATAATATTTGAAGCTAGACTAAAACTGTATTTTCTTTTAGTTCATCCCATCAAGTAGATTAACTCTCCAGAGACAGAGGGGGGGGGGGGGAGATAGACAAAGTGCTGAGAAAAGGGAAAAGTGAGCGAGAGGAAGAATCACGGCAGCAGACGGAATGAGATGCAGCAATGGATGAGAGATAAAGAGGCTGATCTATAAATGCAAATATAACACATCTGCATAAATACATATTGTAGGAAATCATTAACCTCAATTTATTCTTCTGCAAGGAAATCATTTCTTTGTTTTCATTTGGACTCCGGTGCCAAATAAAATGGATTCACTGTGTGAAATAGTTCATTAGGAGAATAAAATACTGGCAAGTGCTCAAACCGATAACATCTGCACCGCAACAACTCACAGAGCTTACTGTATGACACACACACACACACACACACACACACACACACGTGTGTATGTAAATCAAACCGTGGTCGAGGTGAATTTGAACAGCAAAGTGTATTCAAGGTCAGAGCTGTTTACCAGATTCAGAGTACACACACAAAAACAACACTGTTGGTACTGGCCAACAATCCCTGAACCAACACCCACACACACACACACACACACACACACACACACACACACACACACAGCAGCCATCAACTCATTTCTAAACAGGCTGAGATATAATTCGGAAACAAATATGCAAAGATACACACTTTTTAAGCAAACCGGAACACATACAGGAAGATACAAACAGGGAGGATAACACAAGCATGTATAGAGCCAGCTAACACACACACACACACAGATGATATAGGAGTGGGAACAGATTGAGTTAGCGAGACAGAGCTATATGAAGCAGGAACAGAAATAACTCTTCATAACAGGCCAAACCGAGCAATAACTAACAAACAGAACAACCTTGAGAAAGATGAGAGGGAAACAGAAGCAGGGAGGGAAATTAAATGGAAAATAGTCTCTAATTAAGGATGCCGTGTAGATGGCGATCGTATCTGTTTTGTTTGTTTGTTTTTACTTTGTCTTATCTCGCAGACATTGTTTGTTTTTCATGATTATGAAACTTATTCAGTGCTTTTCTGAACTTATTGCAAATGATATGCCCACCTTTGATGCTGCTTCAATGGCAAAACAACAACAACAACAACAGAAAAACACAATAATAGAAAAGTGAATCATGTTCAGGTTCAATCAGATAAGGAACAGGGTCACAATCAGCTGGATTCAACTTCCAGTCCGGGAAAATGTAGGGAACGGTTTTATAGGGGGGAATTGTGCCTGTGTAGCTTTTCTACACTGTAACATACACGTGTGTGTGTGTGTGTGTGTGTGTGTGTGTGTGCATGTTCATTGAGGGTGAAAATGTATCAGAAACAAGTAATTAGTGGTGAGCATTTTTGTGAAAGCATGCAGGGTTCTCCCAGTAAAGTCAGGCCATCTCTACCACCGCCTCAAGTAGAAACAGCCCTGAAAGTGGAGGTAGAAGTCCAATACAACACCTGAGGTTTGGTACTGATACCAGTTTCTAAATACCTTAGTTTGAAGAATTTAAACGTGCTTTCGTAGAGAAGCCTTTTTTCAATCTAAATGATGAACTTCTCAATGCATGAGTTTTGCTGTTTTCTTTTCTTTAAGAAAATCGTCTTCACCGCAAGTACTTTGATGACTCGGCATGAACAGCCCTCTCCTACAACACATACTGTGTTTGAGGTGACCTGATATACACAGACCAGGAGAGACAGAGAGAGAGAGGACAGGGCAAGAAAACCATCGACACTTAATCCATGCTGTATGTAAACGTCACGTCTGCCCGATGAGAAAGAACTCACCATTAGATGCATAGAGAGTGTTGTTCACCATGGGAGAGTGACTGGGACCGTTCGTCAGGCCGTTCACTGGACCCACCGGGCCCGACAGACCAGAGGAGCTGTCAAATGAGCGATTGGGTGACGCCCCGTGTTGATCCTGAAACAGGGAGGACACAATCACTAACTACAATCAAAACGCATCTCATACAGACACACAATGGTCAGGGACGGCTACCGACGACCCCATTTCTAAAAGCAGCCGCAATTATTTTACTAAAAACCTAAGTTGATGTCATTCAAACATAAAAACATGCTGATGAAACAGTTGATAATTTGGGGAAATTACGGTTCCCTTTAATTCATCTTTGAACCTTTTGTGTTTTCATGTCTGTGGATTTAAACGGAGCGCTGAGTCCGAGGAGTGAGCGAGGGCTCTGTAGCCGTCTATTCAAACACAATTAGATGTCGAGGAGGTAGATTAAAGAGGAGAACCAGGGAGACATTTAAAAGACAGTGGAGGATCAAGGTGAAGGAGGGGAACCCATTTCCCACGGCCCATCGGGTTGTGTAACTGTCTTTAGCACTGCTTACTGTGTGTGTGGCAACGACAGTCACGCTGACACCGAGCCACTCCGAGGGCCCTGTAATAATGTGTTGATGGGTCTCTTTGTGCATGTATTATCTTTTCCGAATTTAATTTGCATTTATTTGTCTTCTGTGTGTAGCAAACTGTACGAAGCCATTACCATGTATCCATATGTATGTAGCTTCTGTGTGGCTCTCAGTGCTCCTCTTTGTATCCGCCTGTCTGCGTATAGACTCAGCCCTCCACTCAAACAACAAAGAAGACACAACGGTGCTGTGTGGGTAATAAATCCCCTCTTGTCATCTTCCTCTTGACCCCCCACCGAGCACGAGCTCCTGCCTTCCGCCCCGGCTTCTCCCCAATTCCAGCCCGGGACGCATCACTCTTCAAAGAGTCAGAGGTCCTGTGGGCCCCCCCCCCCCCCCTTCCCCTCCCCTGGCTGTCTCGCAGCACACACCCCATTAGCCCGTGACATAGTGCAATCAGATTACTCTCAAAAAAACAAACATTGTTTTAAGATACAGTCAAACATTTCTGCAATACATTACCCTGAAGCCGTTTTTACTGTTGTTTTTACTCCGGACGGGACTTTAAATAAAGCTTCAGCTGGACGCCTCGCATACATTACATGTGTTATAACGATGTTAACCTCTTAAAATCTAAATAATTGATAAATCTCATCAATCAAAGGAACAAACTGAATAGTTAAATATACAGTATAGTAAATCTAGCCTTTAATGTGATATAAATCACTGGGAAAGGATCCACAGTTATGTAAAATAGACAGGAAAAGCCTTTACGTGTAACAAAGTTAGAAATCCAGGTATTGTGACAACCAAACCGCTGGTGCTAAGGAGCATGGAACCTGTGTAGAGCCGTACTTATCACAGATAAAGAGGGTGTTTGGATAGTTACTGAATGAAAAGAGCAGCTGCCTAAAGTGAGAGATTAGAGCGAGCTGGCTGAGGATGAATACAGTGAGAAGAACTGAGTGAGCGAAAGAGCAAAGGACACAAGAGGAGAAAAAGAAGAAGAAGAAAAAGATCAGAGGGGGAAAAGAAAACGTAGAGTGGTCCACTTCTGAAATGTTAAAAGCATCAATACTGAAGCCCCAAAAGGCTTTTAAGGTACAGTCTCTTATCTATCTGCCTTTATCTTCCTCTCTTGTTATCCTTTCTTTTCCACTCCTAAGAAAAAAAGAGGGAAACATGGATGCAACTCTTTGATGTTGCTAACAGCTTTCACCATCAAGCTATTGACAGGGGATGCCCTGCAAGCCCAAGCACACCACTAAATGCACAAATGCGCTCGTTATTATTCGGCATAATTACCTGAAACTAATTCAGTTCAATACAAAAAGCTCACAATAAATCCTGCCCTCATGACGGTAATCATGCTGAGCTTTTAAAGAGGCTGTAGCTCGCGTGCTATTGAACTCCATCGCTGTATACTGCAAGGCATTGCTACTTTTTTTTGCCCAAATCATTAACGTCAATGAAAGGCAGTTACAGTAATTACATTCTTAGAAATGAGGGTTCTTAACGGCTTCTTCTTAAGGGCTGAGGTTCTAACCACAACCATCTGCCTCTGATGAATCTCTTTTTGAAGAAAGGGGTTTTCAAGGGTTCTTAAGGGTCCCATGAATAACACTTTTCACCCAAAGAACCCTTTATGGAAGAAGAAGTTAGGTAAGTATAGGTGTTAAGGGGAACATGCATAACCCGGCCCACAAAAACTGTGACCCATGATTGTTGTGGGTTGTACTGCACCACCACATTAGCCTGGTCCTCGGGGGTTCTAGATGAAACCCTGGGGATATAAAAAGGTTCTTGACAGAACTACCTGGGTGGGTTCTAGATGAAACCCTTGGAATATAAAAGGGTTCTTGACAGAACTTCCTGGGTGGGTTCTAGATGAAACCCTGGGGATATAAAAAGGTTATTGACAGAACTACCTGGGTGGGTTCTAGATGAAACCCTTGGAATATAAAAGGGTTCTTGACAGAACTACCTGGGTGGGTTCTAGATGAAACCCTTGGAATATAAAAAGGTTCTTGACAGAACTTACTGGGTGGGTTCTAGATGGAACCCTGGGGATATAAAAAGGTTCTTGACAGAACTTTCTGGGTGGGTTCTAGATGAAACCCTTGGAATATAAAAAGGTTCTTGGCAGAACTTCCTAGGTGGGTTCCTATTAGCACCCTTGGAAGGTGGAATGGTTGTGGTTTGAACCTCCAGAGAGGTTCTGGGTGAAACCACTACACCTGAGAAGGGTTCTCTGCAGAACCTCTCATAGGGGGTTCTGGTTGGAACCTTTCCAAGATGATTCTAAGTATAACCATTTATGTTGGATTGTAGGGCGAACCCTCTGAGATGGTTCCAAGTGGAACCTTTCAGAATTCTCTACCAGGAGTTAAAAAGGGTTCCCCTTTGAGGACAACCCGAAGAACCCTTAATAGTTCTGGTCAGCACCTTCATCTTTAAGAAACCATGGTGGCACAGGTGGCACAGACACTTGTGTGTTCCACGTGGTCCATTTAGTCTGTTCTATATTCTCTGTGGGTTCTTATGGGCTGAGAGTGTACCCATACACCTAAACACTGTTTGTGATCGAGTGTGAGCATATCATGCAGGGTGATTAGAGGATGCAGCTATTTTTCCCCACCACCAGTCGGCCATGCAAAGGGATTCACACTTTAGCCAACAGCCGTGCTTTGTTTGAGCAAAGGTTTGTACAAACATTCTACAGAGCCGTGTAAAAGGCATCAGCTGAAAAGCTTAGAAAGAAGGAGACACAGCTGAGTGAAGAACACTCTGTATCGCACACACACACACACACACACACACACACACACACACACACACACACACACACACACACAAAGAAACAGAACATCTGAATAGCTGAAGTGTAAATGCTCTTTCGCTGCTGCTAGTAAGAGAAGGGAGACTAGTGTCACGTATGTGAAGAATGAAAGGAAGGGCTAGAAGTCAGAGGCAGGAGACTGCAAAGAAAACCAAAAGAGGGGATAGGAGATACAGAATGGAGATAAAAGAAGCACGCATGTTTGTTTTGGTCTTGGTGAAGTGAGAGAGGCGAGCATGTGCGCTCATTCTCACAGCGGGTGTCCTAACCTAGATTCCGACAATAAAGAGAGACATTGAAGTGTCCATTCAAACTGCTCCGACCGCGCATGCTCTATATGTTCAGCACCATTGTGCTTTGTGTCTATAGACGAGTAGAGCCACTTGTGATTATAGCGATCATTGACGTATAAAACCAGAAGAGATTTTATGAATTTTACTGAGTCTACAAAAGCAAACTGGAGCTCAACAATTTAAAATAAATAAAATGCTTGTTTGCTCAGATTAGTTTTAAGTGGATTGAGTGAATTTAGGAAAGCTGTCTGTTTCATCCCACTGATGGCAGTGTGTGCTTTGTTTGTTACCCGTTTTTTCACAACAGAGCTGCAACAATTATAACTAATTGATGAGCTGATCGATAAAAAATGCCATGTGCCTTCTGATCAATATAAACAACATGCCCAAGGAATTGCAAAGAGGTTTTCTTTTTTAGGAACGCAAAAGTACACAAGTTACTTTTCTCAGCAGGTAACGTTGTAACGTAACAAGGTACTTTTTTTAATGGCAATAATGTTGAAATGTAAGAAGTTACTTTTAAAAGTTACCCAACACTGCTCCTCGTATGTAAGTTAGTGTGCGTGTGTGTGTGTGTGTGTGTGTGTGTGTGTGTGTGTGTACCTTCAGAGCC